CAACACTCATTTCTTTCCCCCATCTCTTCCCCTCTCCCTTCCCATGCCATCTTTTAAGTGGAGTACCCAGCAATGTTTTTATAATGATCTAACGATCCTTCAATTGCCTAAATGCCCAGCTTTTTGTTATTCTTAATCATCTGCCTTCTTCTTTTTATAACAAACTCCCTGCCCCAAAGGCAAAACTGGGAGCAGCTCAAATGCTGTTGCATTTAAAAACTGCTTCCAGAGTCAGGGCATACAGCTTTAAGGAGACCTCAAATAGGAAATCCATGGAGTTCAAACTCGGGGGGTGGCTATGGTCACCTTAGCCCCCCATAAATGGTGCTCTTGCTCTTCATTATGTCACTATTTGCTTCCACTCAGCTAGGTGAGCTACAAGGGAGAGAAACCCCAACAAGCTACATTGAAACAGATGCTCCTACAGACTTGCTATGGAATTTTGGAGGGAGCAGTTAAGGACAGACCATAGAGAAGAGAACTTATTCTCCCTAAGGATGGAGGAAACTAAAGAGCAAATATAAAACCAAATTAACAAAGAGGAACTGTAAAGTTACACCTGCAGTGGCATATGCAGGGGGTGGAAGGGATGAAGTAATCACTCTTATTGGACCAACTTCCGTGGTGAGAGAGACAAGCTCTGGGAAATACATTTCCCAGACACAAAGACCTCTGTGTAAGCTCAAATGCTACCCTCTCTTATCAGAAATCAGTTCCATAAGGGATATTACCTCATCCACCTGTCTCTATTAAAGCGGGATGTAAGTTTGGAAGCTGGCTTGAAGCCTCTGATAATTTGGCCCATAAAATAAAAATTAAGTGTAAATTAAGTCAGCTGTATTGTTTTTTGTAGATGAGAAAGTATAAACTAGAATCAGCACCAATGGCTCCTGAAAAAAGTAGTCCATTGAACTTGCATCCACTCAGTTTTGTGCAGACCGCTGCCTACATTATGTACAGTGCAATGTTTTATCAATGATGTGTTTGGCACTGTCTCCTGGGAGTCCCAGGTTAAAAGCCATGCCACCAAGGGAAGGGATAATTTTCTTGCCACTGATGGCATATAAGCTATAGCCTTCTCTGTCTACTGCTACATCATCTCTGCCAGAGACTACTTATCCCTAGCCAGGAAGCATGGTTCTGAAAAATTAGGTTTTTTTAATATTTGGAATTGGCTGGAGGCCACAAATGCAGTGTTTTCAACTCTTGTGATTGTATCATGACTTTGCAATATTCAGTGTTCTTAAGATCCAGCTTGTGGAATCAAGAGATGATTGCAGGAGCATCTCAGCTTAGATTTTAAAAAGTTGTGGTGCTCACAGTTGCAAAAAACAAAAAAACAAAAAAACCCACCACACACACACTTGATAACATGAAGTGAGTGCTCCTTACAGACTCAGAAACTGAAAGGCAAATAATATCCACAATGTATTTTTATTATCCCAACTCACGATTTTTAAATGCTTAGGGTTGGCACTCCTGCAAATAACAGGTTCAGTCAAATATTTCTTGAGGGAAAACAGCTCTTTTCCTTCTACAAAGCTATCCTTCCCAATAACAATTACCCCAGAAGGGTTATCTGATTTGAGGGACACATACACAGCACAAGCATAGTATGCAAATCGCACACCACAACACCCTGCTCCAAAGACCATTCAAGTCAATGGGAAGCTTTCCAATGGCTTCACTGACGTTTGGACCATGCTCTGCAATGGGAGATTTATTACAGGTGAAGGCAGGAGTGGGCTGTTAGACGCGCTTGGTAGGCTATTACTATTAGACAATGTTACTAAATGAACCCTACTAATTAGCCAGGGGTGTAGTAATCACCTGGAGAACCCTTTCTGCTCTGGAGATGGCATAAGACAGCAGCTTAAGTTATTTGATTGTTCTTAACTTCCCACGGCTACATAGCTTTGGATTTGAAAAAGCTTTGGCCTAACATCAGACATATATTGATTAGAAGGATTTAGAGGTAATAAGCAGTTTTTGCCTGATGTATATCCCTCTTTTAATGGAATGTCTCTTAAAAATAACCCTGAAACTGTCTTGGTGGTGGTGTTTTTTTAAGAGCAACATTATGCCCCCTGGATATTCACACAAAACAAACTGCCAGTGAAATCAATGGGAGTTACATAGGAAGGCAAACTGGGACTCAGAGCAGCTGTGTCCTTCAGAGCAGTATTTAGGAGACTGAGTCATTGCACCTGCAGAGAGGGAAGGGTGAATCAAGTCAATTTTCTATAGTCCTGTCCACAGACAGAAAAGGGTAAGAGATGGCAGTTGGGCAGGGACAAGAACAGAGGATTGCATTGCTTTTTGTGCCTCCCCTAATAACAGGCACTTAGAAAATTAGGAAGAGCATATAGTCATTAGCTGCCACTTTCTGGTTACTTCAGTTTAAGGGGACCGTCTGCCAGTCACTTTAAAAGATTGTAGTTTACTAGATATTAAGTTTTAATACCTTTGGGGCCAGAGACCCTAGAGGCAGTGCAAAGTCATAGAGCCTGCTTGTAGATACAGCCCTTGTTTTCTACGGGATCCCCACCCAGTTCTAGGTCTGCCAATATACCTGCCTTCTGACCTGCAGTATCTTCACTAGGACAAGACGGTTGTATTTGTGATCCAACCCATCTTGAATCAGTTTCCTCAGGTAAAGAGCAAGCTAAGCTCTCCTACTATTCATCACTCACGTGGTATAAGGCAGCACTCTGATATTCATATCAATGTTTTCAAAAAGTTAACTTAGACATTAATGTTTTTTCAAGATTTAAGTCTATGATTATATTACTTAGGCCCCAGTTCTGCAAAGACTTAAACACATACACAGGTATACACATAAGCAGGGCTCAACAAATAATGCAATCTACTTGCCCGTGGTGAGTAGATTGCAACCCGGAAGAGCCGGGTTCGGGTGATGTGTGCAGATCACCAGACAGCGCGGCTGGCGAGCTGGGCTCACCATGATTTAGCAAGCCCTGCACATAAGTATTTCCATTTACTTAAATTACATTTACATATATGAAGCTAGTCAAATGCTTAAGACTTTGCAAGATCAGAGACTTAGATTTTTAGATTGAATTTAAATTGTTCTGATGTAGTAATGTGAAAATCAAAAGTGTACATTTGCAGTAAAGTTCTAGGCTATGTCTAGACTGCCATGATTTTCCACAAATGCTTTTAACAGAAAAGTTTTCCGTTAAAAGCATTTGCGGAAAAGAGCGTCTAGATTGGCACGGACGCTTTTCCGCAAAAGCACTTTTTGCAGAAAAGCATCTGTGCCAATCTAGACGCATTTTTCTGCAAAAAAGCCCCGATCGCCATTTTCTCAATCGGGGTTTTTTTGCTCAAAACAAATCTGAGCTGTCTTCACTGGCCCTTTTGCGCAAAAGCTTTGCGCAAAAGGACTTTTACCCGAACAGGAGCAGCATAGCATTTCCGTAAGAAGCACTGATTTCAGACAGTAGGAAGTCAGTGTTCTTGCAGAAATTCAAGCGGCCAGTGTAGACAGCTGGCAAGTCTAGACACAGCCCTAGTGTTCTTAAGAGCTGATCCATTACCTACCTGTGTCCAACCCTATGTCCTTTCGTGTGTAGAACTACTACTGAAGCCAGTGGAAGGTCTGCACTCAGATTGCAGACTTGCATACAGTAATTCCTCGCTTAACACGTTTTCGCGATAGCACGATTTTTTGGGGGGGAACATTTTTTGAACAACACGACCCATCCCCGCAATAACACGATTTTCCCTAGGGCTGGCCGGTGGCTGGCAGCTGCGCGAGGCTTTCCCTGCCTCCCTGCCAAGTGGCAGAGGTTCTCTGCTTGCCATGCTGTTCCCTGGCCATCCCCTCTGGCCGGATGCTTTGCTCCCGCTCCTCCACCCCCTGCTTGCAGCTGGTGACTGGGTTTCCCCAGCTGGCAAGTCACTGGCAGCTGTGCAGAGCTTACCCTGCCTCGGGAAGTTCACCACTCACCGTGCCATTCTCTGCTGACCCCCTCTGACCGAATGCCTCTCTCCCTCTCCTCTGTCCCCTGCTTGCAGTTGGCGGCTGGGTTTCCCCAGCTCTTTGGTCACCGTCAGTTGCGTGGGGCTTCGTTTGCCTCCTTACCAAGCGGCGGAGGTTTGCCGCTCTCTGTGCAGTTCCCCGGTGACCCCCTCTGGCCTGATGCGTTGTATCCAGCCAGAGGGGGGGTCACCAAGGAACTGTGCGGCAAACGGAGAACCTCTGCCGCTTTGTAAGGAAGCAGACGAAGCCCGGGGCAGCTGCTGGTGACCGGCGAGCTGGGAAAACCCAGCTGCAAGCGGGAGGCAGAGGAGAGGGAGCAAGGCATCCAGCCAGAAGGGGTCGCCAGGGAATGGTGCAGCGAGCGGTGAACCTCCGGAGGCAGGGTAAGCCCTGCGTAGCTGCCGGTGACTGGCCAGCTGGGGAAACGCAGCCGCTGGCTGCAAGCCCCCTCCCCTGTCCTTCCCTTCCCTTTCCCAGAGCTAAACACCTCCCCTTCCTGCTATAACTCAGTCCCCTTTCTCCCCCAACCTTATGTCCCGGTCCCAGCTGCTAACAAATGCAGGCTGGAGCTGCAAGCGCACGTGCACTTGAAACGCAACTCCCACCTTTTCCATTATTTTCAATGGGAAAATTGACCCCACATAACACATTTTCACTTAGCGCAATCATTTTCTGAAACGTATCTACCGTGTTAAATGAGGAATTACTGTACAGGAAATATATTAGGTTGTGCATAATTTTTACTTAATCTTGATTTTTAACTTTGAAATGTGGTGGCCAAAATATTTTTCACATGTGCCTTTTCAACTGAAAATTAACTCATTTTGGTCAAAGTTTTCTGGTCTTTGTTTTCTAATACCAATTAAGCTTCAGTTTCCTTCCCATCTCTCTTTTCCTCTTTTCCGAGGGGGAGGGTAATGCATAGCTGTAAGGGGAAAAGAGGCCCAAAAATTAAAAGCAAAAACAGATCGCAAATACCACCGCAAGTTAAACAAATTGCATGTTCTTCATTTTATTCAAAAGTTTCACAAAATATATCTGGCGTTTTTCATCCAGCTCTACTTAGGATGGATGAAAATTCAAAGAGAACAGAAAGTGCAGACTATGGCCAAATGAGCATTTCAAATCAGGAAACAATTAAAGGTTATTGTTATGTGCACTTAAATGCATTTTCTGATTCTCTCTTGAGTCCAATTGCTCTGAAGAAGGCAAATAATCGTAACCCATGTATTTTGAGCAACTTTCATCTCACCACATCACATCAGTTTGAATAATGTATGAACTTATCAAATTCATAATTTGTCAGTATTTTAGCAATTACATGGCATGTTGAAATAAAAAGAGTAACTCAGCTGAGAACTGTATAGGTTTAGGGGTTGAGAGGGCATAAAGCTAGTCAGCTGTTCAAATCCAGCCCAGGTTGCTAATGGAAAAAGCAGCAATGGAAAGTCTTTACCATCTGACAGCTGTTTGGCTTTGTGAGAAGTGAGTCAGTGGCTACTCAGATATTTTTAGAGCACCCACTATGGATTCTAGGCAGCAGCATCTGTATCCCTGCCCAGATTCTCATGGACAGGTGTCCATATCATGAAGCTCATTAATGGCATCCAAAAATCTCTGCTGTGGCACCGAGGAAGGAATAAGTTCAGTTGGTGACTGAACAGCCCCTCTGACTGAGAGCTAGTCCCCGCAAGCAAGCATGGGGACACCAGGGAAGCAGAAGGCAATGTGATAACCCATATTGTACTAGTTTTACAGATACTTCTAGAACATTCTTCAGGCCTGTTATTTCAGAACCTTTCACAAGCCCAACATTCACTCAAATATGAAAGGTGGAAAACTGAGCTCGCAAAACTCCATAAAATAATTATGAATGAGCATGTGCTCCAAATACTATCCTCCCAATTAGGCTCCTCTCATTTTTTCCTGTAAAATATTGTCAGCCTTTAGGTCCTACATCTAGGTTATTCATTTGTTATTACTGGTGCCTTACTCAAAGAGCCTCATGAGCATATGGTAACGTGTACATACAGAGATAATGCTGTGTTCAATATTTGTGATTTATTTTGTCACAAATGTCATCTTGGAGCTGTCACTTGTATAACCTCCCTGCAATCTAATGCTCAGGAAGAAAGGAGGAATAATATGGGATCTTTCATGGACCCACATCCTGAACATTTCCCTCTCCTTTTATTTTTGTGCAGATCTTAGCTGAGGCACAGGAAGAAAGGCATCTGCAGACTAAGTGGCAGGTTCCAAGAAATTGTCTGTGTCTAACACATAATTGATACATTAATAAACACCTCACTGCAGTTAGTCAACCCAACTAGCTTTCTCACAGTGCATATATGCACTATGTCCTGTATTTTTTTTATTCTGAACGTAAACTTTTTCCTCGTACATACTCTAGCCAAGGTCTGAAGAGAGTAGGAAACTTAACAGTGCAATGTTTGAGTATCAGAAGAGTATTCACATCCAGTTTGTTAAGAAGATTTTTGAAACAGAAAAGTGTTCATCTAAATTTTTCCATGGAAATATTTGATTTTTTTTCAGCATAAGTTTGAATACCAAAAAAATTGTCTAAAACCAAAATCCTCCAGGTTTGGGGGGGGAGTGGTGGTGTTTGTTTTTTTGGAAGCGGGGAGTGCAGGATGGAAAATAAAACTCAAAAGATTCCTTGAGGAACCAGGTACTTTTCAGAAATAAAAGTAAGAATGTCTTTTGTTGAAAGCACAGTTTTGCATTAGACATAGTTGGCAGAACTTACTTGCATTATTTAATTTGGGAGGCTTCTCTTTAGCTTAATGGTTCATCTTGTCCTCTCCCTGAACACAAGAGACTCGCAACACTTGTCTCAGAATTAAAGTTTATGAAGCTAAACACTCATTGTGTTCCTAGGGTTGACTGTTATTTCTGCCCGTTCTTGCCATCAGAGTTGGCTATTAATGGAATTACCGAGCCTCAGACAGAAGCTCAAGGTTCATTGGGCTGGGAACCCCTTCTGATAACAAAAATTACTCTAGCCTACCCTTCTGGTCTGTAAGGCCTGAGCTCCACCAGCACTGGTGGAAGCCAAAGCCAAAAGCCTGACCCCCTTCATTCAGGGCAGAAGCCCTTGAACTTTGACCCCTGGCACAGGGTCTCGGGCTTTGATTTCCAACCTAAGTAGTGGGGCGTAAGCTTCAGCTCTGGGCCCCAGCAAGCTGAATGCCAATCCCGACCCACAGTTTGAGAACCATTGACTTAGAGGATGATTAGCACCCCACCCCCAAGTCCTCTCTATCAATGTCCCTGCACGTGCAGCTCCTAATTTATTCACCTGTACTAGGGGGGAAATCTACTCTGTAGTGCCTACCTACCACATGCTGTGGTCCAAAAAGCAGTGAGTCCACAGGAGTCTCCTGTGCAGGAGGGAAGGGGAGCAGGTATCTGAACTCATGTAGGGGAATCTATGCACCTACAAACTGCAGATATCCCTGGTATCATAAAGGGTGATTTTAGGTGTAGGAGAGAGTTCCTTTACTGCTGCAACCAGCAATCAAAACTCCTTGTGAACAGGGAAAAACTGGCACATTGTTTCAGTGTTGCTATATCTCAATAAAATAGATTCTCCTTCCCTGTTCCTAGCCTCACGAAGTTCTACACAAAACCTTCTTACTTCAACTTCTACAATTGTACAACTCCCCCTGCTCAACTCAGTTGACATGAGCTAACCCTGGGGCTGTGTCTACATTGGCATGATTTTGTGCAAAAGCGTCTGCTTGTGTGCAAAGACATGCTGCCTGTCTACACTGGCGGGGAGTTCTTGCGCAAGAACACTGATGTTCTAATGTGTGAAATCAGTGCTTCTTGCACAAGAACTGTGATGCTTCTGCTCAGGAATAAGTCCTCTTGCACAACTGTTCTTGAGGCAACATAAATTTCTTGCGCAAGAAAGCCTGATGGCTAAAATGGCCATTGGAGCTTTCTTGCGCAAGAGAGCGTCTACACTGGCACAGATGCTTTTGCGCAAAAGCACATCTCTTGTGCAAAGGCACATGCCAGTGTAGACACTGTCTTGCGCAAATACTTTAACACAAAAACTCTTGCGTTAAAAGTATTTGTGCAAAATCTTGCCAAAAAGTAGCCTGGGGGTTTAACTGTAGTATAGATGTACCCCTGCAGTGCTTCAGCATCTGAGCCAGGATACAGCATGCTGTTGCCAACAACCCTGCAGTTATGCAGTCACACCATGGTGTGACCATATATAAATGTGGTATTTATATTAAATATCTACAGACAGAGTGCAATAGCCTTAATCACAAAGGGGATATTGAGGCATACAGTGCATTTACTTAGAGATGGGGCCCTTACTCATAAGTCTGAGAATATTATGCCAACTTGTCCAAAGCATATAAAGGCACTTCCTGGGGGTGTTCAGATCCACAGTTTTGGTTCAGCACATTATAAGATTAGGTATCAGCAGTTAAGTTTTGTCTGTGAAATTCTAAATCTCCAGGCATCAAGGGTTTTTGAATCCAGCCCTCTCCTTTAATTTTAGAAAAATACTAACATGGTGGGAGAATAATGTTGGTAACTATTACAAGTTTTCTTAAATATAATGGAAGCTAATCTCAGTTTGAGATTTTAGGCCCAATCACCAGAGATACTTAAATACTTAATTCTAAATTCCATTAGCTTCAGAAAAACTACTCATGAGCTTAACCTTATATCTGTGAAGTATCAGGGTTTTATATTTCAATATGAGTTGCAATAACTAAAAATTAATAAAGTTGCACCAGATTCCTCAGTGGAGTTATTCTGATTCTCTGTTAAGAGCAGAATTTGCTCATTTGTTTTACCTCTTTCAGAAAAGTACCCGCATAGTTTGAGTTGTATGGAAAATCATTCATATCAGGATCATAGTACTTCCCAACAAAGCATTTGGATATGAACGACAATCTGTCACTTACCTCCAGAATCTGTGAAGACTATCAGCTGCTTCAGAAGAATTCACTGTCTGGGAGGGCAACAGTGGAAAAAACAGTGAATGTAGCTTACTGATGTTTGTGTAATGTTTCCATCTTGTGGCCAGATAAGTGAGAAGCTTCTCTTTTAACACGGATTAAGAAATGCCTTAAAGATGAGAGATTTTTGTAAAGATTAGAGACTTTTGTGCTAGTGTCTACATTAGGGTTGCCAGGTGTCCGGTATTGACCCAGACCATCTAGTATTTTTGCCTCCTGTCCGGTAAGAAAAATTCAGAAAATACTGGATGCTTAAAATGTCCAGGATTTTCTAATTTTTTTTCCCAGCCAGGAGATGAAAATACCGGGTGCTTACCTGCTTCTGCAGGGAAGCTGTCTGGCCCAGAGCAGGAAAACAAGATGGCAGGTGGCTGCCAGCAGCTTGTTAAGGCCAAAAAAGCCTCAAAAGCATTTCTTAAAGGGGTCGTGCTGGTGGGTTTTTTTTTGTTTGTTTGCTTTTTTAATTAATAACGCTCGGGTCAGTGTGTGGGGGGGGGGGGGGGGGGGGGGAGATGTTCAGTATTTTTGGTTAAACCATCTGGCAACCCTAACTACATTTACTAATAAATTTAACAAATCATGAGAACTTTGTGTTTTAAGTAGATGAGTGTAAAAGAATGGACACTCCACTGAATTGCCATTAGGCATGGAGTAGCAGCTCTCTGCCTTCTGGGTACACCCTGCAAACAATCACTCCACTCCTGGGATAGTCTCTCTTCTCATGATTCAGCCCTCCAGGCAGGTCCACCCCTATCAGGGTAACAGAGTTCAACAAATAAACACTCCAATGTCCTTACAACATGTCTTCAGGCCTGCCTCTGGACCTGAAGGTCCTCTCTTGGCTCAGATCTGTGAGTATCATTATCCCCTTTTTATGTCCAAAAGGAGGGCAGGAAGGGGCTTCATATTACCTTTTTCCAGTGCTGGATGTGGGAAACCCATTGCTTCTCTCTACTGTGGATTCCAGTCCAATAATCCTGTAGCAAGCTGGCTAGGTCTGACTAGTGAAAGCAAGCCCTGCTGCCTCCCTGGACTTCTTTCTACTATAGCCTTTTACTAGGCTGTCTCCCTACTACCTCTCTAGGTTCACCCTTCTCTCAGAACTCCCAAAGTTCTCCTGAAATCCACAGTAAGTCTCAAACCACAAAGGTACATCTTAGCTCAAATTCAGTCCTCCTCAAGCAGCTCCTGTCACCACTCAAATATCCCCCCTGGCAGAGCTGTTCTTCACTTAGCTACTTTGCAGGGCTCTCTCCCTGGAATGCTTCATCCTGCCTTTTTATCAGGGCTCACCACTTGTGACTGCTTTATGTCACTCCTGTCAGATTTGCCCACTCCCAAGAGCCAACTTTCCTTCTGGACAGCCTCCTTTGGGCTGCTGGCTACTACGCCCTCATGTAACACATTTATTCTATGCAGCACCTTCTGGGGCACACTCGCTGTGTTTTAAATAACCCACCAACTTCCTCGCCCTCCTGGGACCCATTTTTAATTAAGCCTGGCTGGCCAGCTCACTGTCCAGGCAGTCAGGGCCACATTAACCCTTTCAGATTCTGTATGGAGTACACATACCATCACAAGCTAGTCAAAACATTTCTTTTTAAACTTGCTTTTGGGGGGAAGGGGCAGACAATAGTATTTTCAAATTACATGTACATTTTCATTTTTCTTGAAATGTTTAAATTTTTTGTCAGAAAGCCAGAAGAGTTTCGGTTTTTAGCAACATATTGAGGTTTCAAATTTGTGGATTCCTCCCTCCCTCCCCCAATAACAAATCACATTTCTGTTGAAGAAATGCTCCTTTTTCAGCCTTTTCCAACTCCCCCCAGGGAAAGAAGGATTTCTGGAGCCATTCAGGGGTTGGACCCCTGCAAGGAGTTGGGAAGAGAGATAAGGAAATACGGTAGGGGCGGTAGAGATAGGGTCAATGAATCTGGAGCCAGTGACTCCCACAGAGGCAGGGGATATGTCAGCACCGGGGAAAACTGCAGCTCCAGGCTTAATTTCAGTTGCAAATTCTAGGAGCCATCCAGTTCCCAAAGGGGCTTTTATTGTTCCAAAAGCATACACATGCCAAGCAGCTTTTTTTTCTTTTTTGTTCTGACCCAGAGGGTTGATGTTGCTTTTGGCTAGGTCAGCCCAGCACACAACTTCCATAGGCAAACAATTTCACAAGGATCAGGCCATTAGAAGGGCCATCTCACCCATCCTATCATGAGAATGCCAGGTCTCAGCTTCCCTCAGTCTCTCTGGCAGGTTAGATGATTTAAGTGCTTTGGCCCTCTGGCTAGAGCAGGATGAATAAACTTGGATGAAGCCATGTTCCACTAGAATGGGCAGCTCTGTCAAAAATCAAAATGCTTGGAAAAATCTGTTGCTCCAGCATTTTGCTGAAAAACAAAAAATTTCCAACAATATAAAAGCCTCCACTTTGACATTGTCAGAACAAATTTGTTTCAAGTGATATTCCTGTTTCAATGCATAATATCATATTAACATTTTAAAAGTTGAAATAAAAATGAAGCATTGAATTTTTGTAGAACAAAATGTTTTGAACAACCAAACAGAAAAATGAGGCTTTTCTTAGTAAAGAATTTTTAAGTGTTTGGTTTTCCCTTCAGTTGTGAATGAAGACAAATTTCAAAATCTTAAAGTCCTTCATGAACAACCTCCATACAGCTCTACCGCTGGTGTACCCTAGCAGGGTAAATAAAAGTACATAGCAACACACTTTTTCATCTTCCTGAGCCATCACCCACTACATATAACCGTCAAGTCCTTCTCCCCAGATTGCGAGGTGTTCCTTCTTCACATCTAGCACAGGGCTGACCACGGTCCCCAGCCCATTGCTGAACTCAGAGCCAGCAGACCTTTGTCCTCAAGAACTACAATTTCTTTGATGCTCCTTAGGCTAAGTCTTTGTTTCTAGATGACAAGATATTTTGTTATCATGACACAATATGGTAACCCTGGCCCTGAGATCCCATGGTAGAAAACAGCAACCTGACCTCAAATCTAAACTGTCCCACTTCCTAGTTCCCAGAAGCATTCCACACTTCTGCTCATTTATTTTTTTCCCTTCCCCAAATTCTGCCTCAGCAATAGGGTTACCAGATGGTTTCAAAAAAATACCAGACACACTTGATCTCAGATGAAGGGATGGACTGGCCAGGAGGGGAGCGGTGCTGGTCGGGAGGAGCGAGGCTGGCTGGGGGAGATTGGAGGGGTGGGGGAGAAGGAACTGGCCAGTGGGAAGCAAGGCTGGCTGGGAGGGGGTTGGG